GTATTTTTCGCTTTCTTCTTTGCAATGCTTTTTTACGTAGAAACCTCGCTACTTTTTTATGTTATGAGAAAAATTTTGTTTGAAAATGTGTTTGCTAACTAACTCTCCCCAGTGGATCAACAAGTGCACTTGGATTCATAACTTTAAGAGCTTTGTCCAATGGGGTGGTCTTCATTCTAGCACTTTCAAGTACAGTTTTAAAAACCATTTTGGGATATTATTCTCAACCATTCCTACATTCAACTTAGCCCAAATCTGTTTCTTACAGCCAGAATTTGTAGTCCAACACCACACAAAAAAAGCTCGTTGGAGCATTCATGTAATTACTGCTCTTCTAGTGCTTCACCTATAAATAGTCAACAATGCAACAAAAAGATTAAAGTCAACAATGTAAATTCTTGAGTTATTTTAATTAAAGAAGTTCTTAGAGGTAAAAAAAAAAGTCAATCCTAAATCAATTTTAGTGACCTTGATTAAAAACGCCGTCAAATCCCTTCTTTTTTTTGTAGCCATTTCTCTCTTATAACAAACTTCATCTTTAAAGTAGATATGGGATAATCCTGGTCGATTCAAGGAAGTGCATTTAAATCGGTGGCCAAAAATTATCTCTACTGATGATTATTACTGCCTTAAGTTTGTGTTGGCTCGGTAATCTTTTAATAAGTCTTTGATGAGATATTTTGTCTTTGTGTGGATTATGTTCTTCTTAATTACTGATCATGGTTAATCATCTTTAGTGGAGTTTATTTATCTTCTACGTAGGCAACGAGGATGCAGCTCTTGCTTATAAGGGTTTTTGGGTTAGTTTATTAATAAAATACGTAGAATTAATTCGTCAATGCCTATTGGTTATGAACACCCCAGTTACATTTTTCAAGTGACGAAAACACCACCACCAGTGGCTATGAAAAATGACTCACAAAGCACCCATAATCGATAAACCTTTTTTTGTTGACACGCTTCTTTACTATATATTTTGTGACCTTGCTCGTTGCACTACCGTTTTGGCGTTCCTAGTCTTGGGCATTTGCATTCGATAGTAGGATTTGTAGACTCGCCCAATATCACACCTAAGTAGATTGGGTATTCACGAAGTATCAACATCTAGGCTTGTGATGATTCGAGTTTCAATGGTTACTTGTTTTTGTTGTATTTTTTACTTATGTCAGTAGATTTTTGATCTTTCTTCTTTCTAAGTTA